TCGGAGGTTTGGTTAAGGGACTCCACCCGGAGCCTTTGGCTCAATAGCCTGACAAACAAGGCAGTGGGTGGTTTGGAAGTTTGCTTGAGGGACTCCACCCGGAGCCTTTGGCTCAATAGCCTGACCTACAAGGCAGTGGGTGGTTTGGAGGTTTGCTTGAGGGACTCCGCCCGGAGCCTTTGGCTCAATAGTCTGACTCACAAGGCAGTGGGGAGCAGATCCAGCTCGGGAATGTGATTGCAGAGACAGATTGGGATCTGCTTGACGGCCGTCACACGCAGCCTTTGAGGTTCTGGAACAATTATCATATGTTTTGCGACCGTAATTGGATACGCACCTGCGACCACGGCCAGACGCAGGTGGGTTTTTGGCGGGTTTGCACCAATTTGACCAGGGGCTGCCTGGCTTGAGGCGGGCAGTAGCAAACCATTGAACACCCAGAGGTGTCCTCCCACCGTCAGAGACAATGCGTGGCTCTCGTGCTCTACGCCAATCGAGCTTTGAGAATATAACCCGTAAACCTGTTGTCTCCCATGGCTAGGTTTTACGGGAAGTGGGCCATCGACCACCTCCTAACCTCCGGAGAGGATGGACTAGGATACTGCCAGGGCGCCCAATCCTGACAGGAGAACGACTCGGGTCCTCAGCCAAAGCCTTCGATTAAATGAACAGCCGAAAGGCAGCGGGTCTAGCACATGGTCAGTTAGCTGACTCATGCGGATTGGTGTCCTGGATCTTAGCAGGGAGAAGGGCGAAACCCAACTCCCACCCAGCGGTCGCCACGTGGAGGCGCCCAGGACATGAGACCATGGCGTAGCAGTAGCAGCAGCGGGTAGACCATCTGTCAGGATCTAGCCACCACCAGCCTCAGCGCACCACAGGCTCGCCCGCATATATATATATATATATATATATATATATATATATATATATATATATATATGGTTGGCGGCATCCGGTTTCGGATTTGCCTGTCACTGTGGCAAGCCACAGGACGCCTGCGCCTACAGAGGGACCATGGATGGCTTGCGCTGCATCACCCACAGCTCCAACCACACACCCCATATCCAGCGTAAACCCGAAGCAATAAGACCGGGAGGCATGTGGATGGGAGCCACGTTTCATCAACGGAGCCGGCCCACACTCCTTCACAGGCAAACACAATCACACTGTATTTGGGGAATCAAGCGCACACAAGGCGGTGGCTGGACCGTAGTCCGCTCCACACTGACTGCATGGAACCACTGTTCGAGCCTAGCACGGCCACAAGGACCGTGCACCCCGTCCCCTCCAGCAACCACCAACTGTCTCCTGGGGCCAGTATGGACGAGGTAGTGGGTAATAGACAGGTAGGCACCTTGTCAACATGCACATCAAGCGCAGCCACACCGGGGATATCAAACAACAGCCAATCACTTGAGAGAGAGAGAAAGAAAAAGAGAAAACTCGATTAATGCATAAGGAAACGGTGATATAAACCTTAATTAAATAGCATATGTAATAAGTTGTTTACAAACAAATCCTAGCTAAGTGCACGAGGTCAGGAAGTATAGTTCACGGAATGCCACGAACGCAAAATTGTTATGGAAATCGAATACAATTGGCTGAAGCGATGTGTGCAAGTTAATGGAATAGAGTACAGGGAGACATTTATATGAGAAAGAAAAGCAGTAAGGTAAAAACTGTAAACCCACCACCTGAAATAAACAGACTTAGCATGCAAGCACGCGGTTAGTAAATCGAATTCAGCGTGCCTACAAACGCTGCGCCGGCTCGCCGTAATTCTCTGCAGGACCCGTCGTCGATTCTGTAGTGGCCCCAAAGGACCTAGCTCATGGCCCACTAGACATTTATATGAGAAAGAAAGGAATTAAGAGAGAACCGAAAACCCACCACCTGAAATAAAGAGACTTGGCATGCAAGCACGCGGTTAGTAAATCGAATTCAGCGTGCCTACAAACGCTGCGCCGGTGCTGCCTACGTTCACTGCTGGACCCGTCGTCGCTTCGGCAGTGGTCCCGAGTGACCTCTCTCATGGCTCACTAGGCCTGCCTGACTAAGGCACTCGCGACCGCATGTTCTACAGCACAATGCCCTCGATGTCGATGGAGTACAATTCATCGGTGCTTGCCGCTTCCGCAACTGCCGCTTCTTCTCTGCATGCATGAGGGATTTCTCCCGCACCTCAGCAACTGCCTTCGTGATTAGATCGCGCCACGCACGCCGATCAACCGCCTTCGATTCCCATGATTTTAATCATGGGAAGCGGCACGTGGGGAAACCAAAGTTACGTTACCAGGACATTATATATATATATATATATATATATATATATATATATATATATATATATACGTTTGCCTAATTTAGAGATAAAAAAGGATAACCATGAGACATCGTAACAAGAAGTTCACGCTAGATGTAACGAGGGCTAGAACAGCCATGAACACCAACTTTTTCTTCATCAGATACGCAGTCTTGTGGGACAACGTACGAACCACAACCATGATATGTGAAAACTCTACATCATTCCACGCCACTCGGCAGATTCTAAGATAACTAATGATTAGTGGGGATTTCGGTATAATTCGGAGAATCCATCATGGCTCACTCTCAGTCAGCAGAATTTGGAAAGTCTGGAAAAGCCTCAGACACCGGTGTTTCGACCTTCTGGTGCTCGGCAATGGTGCGTCTTCCATCGGACTCCTGCCGGGTTCCACCCTATGACTTCAGGATAGCAGTAGCTAATGTCACTTCGCCATGGGTGACAGCCGCGGAGCTGCACAATTGACTGTGATATAGCCCGGCTCATCTTACACTGTCATGCCAGTTACGAAGTGTGCAGAGAACAGCAGTTAGCTCAAGAGCAAGGACTTTCCGCATAGAGCGAATGAACGACATGGGAGTTGGAAACTATACGGAGATAGTTTTATATTACTAGTGAGTAGTGGGGATTTTTGTATAATTCAGATTCTAAGAACAATAGGTTATTACCCATGTTCACATCGGACAACTCACCTGGTGAAATATTACAGGATGATCCAAAAAATAACTAAAAGCTAAAAATCGTCGTCAATGTACCCTCATTTACATACAGATATGTTACTATTTTAGGAACAATTTTCACACATTAGAGGAATGTAGGTATGTATATACAACTGAGTATAGAAAGACGCGGCTGTCAGCCGATCTGCACTAGAGTAATTAACAGAAGCCAATGGTAAAGACAGCTCAATTAGTAGTAGATTCCCGTGGGGCAGTTCAATAACACTTGTAACGATGAAAGTATGAATTATCATACATTTAATAGTTTGAAGCCGAATGGTAGCACTATTTCACGGTTGTATGGGTCCCAAAAGACACATAAGAGTGAAGTGACACTCAGGCCAATCCTTTCAATGATGAACGCGCCCCAGTGCAAATTCGCTCGTTGGTTACTGAAGTTGCTAGCTCCGCTGAAACAACAATTCAATCCGTACAGTCTTAAAGACTCGTTTCAACGCATTGATGACCAGGATGAACTCAACCTGTCAGACAAAGTCATACGTTCCTTGGATGTAGAATCCTTATTTACCAACGTGCCGCTACATCAGACGGTTGATTACGTGTGCGAATTAGCTGAAAACGGTGGCTATTCGCTACCAATTCCGACTGAATTGCTAAGAGAACCTCTACTATTGTGAACAGAGAATGTGGATTTTCACTTCCGAAATACACCATCCCGTCAGATTGACGGCGTAGCAATGGATAGCCCATTAGGTCCTGTGCTCGCTGATTTCTTCATGTTGATGGTAGAAAGAAGCACTGCTACGGAAATAGCCTAGGTACCCTACTACAAACGATATGTCGATGACATCTTGGCTTTCTGTTCGTCGGAGCAGCAGCTCACATATGTAGTAGAACGGCTCAATGGTGCTCATGCTAACTTACGGGTTACATGCGAAATAGAACAAAACATTTGTCTGCCATACCTGGACATACTCATAACTCGCAGAGAGGATGGATTGATTAAGAGGTCCATTTACCGAAAATCAACTTGGTCCGGTCAGTACCTGCACTTCACCAGCTTCACACCAGTGCGGTACAAACGGACACTTGTGAAGACTCTAGTTAGTCGTGCCAGACGAATTTGTTCGACCGAGTGTCTGGACGATGAGCTAGTGTTAATTACAACAACACTAATGGCAAACGGCTACCCTCGAAGATTTATCGAGAAACACAGCCAACCGCGAGGACCAAAGGACTTGGTGCACACGGCAGCCAAGAAGAAAGTGTATATCGAGTTACTTTTCAAAGGTGACAGCCACGCTGAAGACAACTAAGCGTATAATTTCGGCTACACAAGAAAGTTACTATGTTGCACAAGTTGTCGTCATCAACAGAACCCGAAATTTGCCCATACCTCCAACGAAGGAAGCTCAGCCTATTGGGGCCAACTCACACTGTGTATACCAATTTGTATGTGACTGCGGAAAAAGTTACATAGGCATAACTAGTAGGACGCTGACTTCCCGAATAAAGGAACATGTACGCAGTTGGGTTCAACGTGAAGTTGCTCAGATTGCCTACCCTCGTCAGATTCCATGTTCGCAGAGACTGCCGGTTTCCTCGATAGGCAAACACCTATTAGACTCGGGTCACCAGACAGAGCTGGGCTCAACGTTTAAAGCTGTGTTACGTCACACTGATCCCCGCTTCCTTTGGTTTGCTGAGGCCGTCGCTATAAGCCGGATTAAGCCAGCCTTGTGTGTTCAGAAACAATTATTTGTCAGCCTAAAGCTGCCTTGGAAGTAGGTGCGAACTTCCGTCATTCGTTTTGCACGTTAAGCTTGTCTGGTTGCACCCACTGTTATCTATATCTATGCATATCGGTTAATGTTAACGGTACTGAGGAGACAATACGAAATGCATGCATCTACAAGCCCTCGTCTTCTTTCCGTGCTTTTCATCACAATTAGTTCAGAATGCGGCTTTCATTTTGATCTGGGAGGAAAACTCACCGGAACTGAATTCAAATGTCTGGCAATCAACTCCGATATGCGATACGCCTTCAAATCATCGGAGTTCAGAGTAAGCAAGGCACGGGGAATTGATGTCCCAGACAGCAGCGACTGCGCCGAGCGAGAAGCCCACAGTTTGATAACCGTCTCTCGGTTGCAAAGAACCTGAAGAGAAAAGGTGCACAAAAGTGAGAATGCAAAGGTGAGAATGCAAGCAACGTGAATACAGCCCGTTGCCTTCTTTTAAAATTCAGTCAAAACTGATGTCTGGATGGTAATGTACATACTACTAACGTCTGCGTAACACATGTTATGTATACAAATGGAGTACTGACCAAGTAGTGAGGAATTCGGACCAACAAAATGAACCTCAATGAATGCACAGTCACTTAAATATCTTACTCTACCCAACCCTCTAAGGCAGCCCAGACTAAAGGATCATCTGTCAATGTTGGTGTCCAGTAAGGCATCGTGCGCACAGTCGCTGGGATTGACAGAGAAATAGGAAAGAAAACCAGGTACCTCGGAGCAGTATTTGCAGGATCAATGAACACCGGCGTCACCAAAGAACTCGCGCACACGGGTACATAAGCAAAGGCTGTCTAACGGATTGGCTGTCTGATCCCCACCATGTGTTCGCTGAGCAGAGAAGCACATAAACAAGATCATCTAAGGCGGGAAATTCTAGACAGGGAAGCGAGGGCGTTAATGTAAATCCATAGAGGATGACACGACTCCATTAGGTAAGCTACCCACGATTTATCCAGTCAAATGGTAATAACAAAGTGAAATTGCCTCGTCCCACAACTGCAGTGTGTATTGAATTATGAGCGACAAATCACATGAAGGACATAGTAAACGAGTCGGTAGTAGGACACGTGATTGTAGTACATCAGGCGCAATTGAATATCAGGCGTTGCACAGTACAATAGCCCAGAAACGAGGGTGCTGGTCGACAGGCCAAAAGTTACGAGAAAGTTGATTTCGGTGCCAACGTAGAGCAATACGGTGGTCCTATACATCTTAACGTAGTGCGATGGTTAATGTGCCTCAGTGATCCATTGAGCCATGCTGGGTGGCGCTTTTTGCACCTTCACAGCCACTCATACCAAATTGGTCAATGGTTAGATGCCAGACAAACTCAGTCTGCTGGACCTACAGGTTGGGTGTCGGAAGGAGGGTGGCTCCTTACTCAATAAAACGGGATCTCCGTAGCCAAGGGCCAAAACCCCGCTGCCTTGCGGTAAGGTTTTTGAACGAAAGGATTTGGTTTAGACCACTAATCGTACTTCTGTCTAGGATTGGGCCACGTGACAGTATCCAGCCCATGCAATATACCATGACATTTCTTTCTAACAATCACTTGATGCGCTGGCCGTCGCTGGATACTCAACAGCGCTGTATCTGCTGCATCGAGCAGAGTAAATAGGGGTTTGGATGCTACTGCTCAGGCCTTCCTGCCCTCCTACGTTTTCTCGTCCTTAGCGTCCCGCCCAAACTTCACTTTTATCCCCGCGTTTTCAACCCCCCAATTTTTGGCCCTCCGCCACCTTGCGTGAATTATCGCTTGTCTTCTAGTTTCAACTCACACACAAGCGCAGGGGGTCGCTCCAATCAAGCCGGTAACTCGATGTTCAACCAACCGGACAACGTCAGTGCATCCGCTTCCCATTGGAGTCCTCGATTCTCGCTAAGACTGGCATGTCTAAACGTGCGCACTTTGCTACAGATTGGCTAACAGGCAGCATTTGCCGGCACACTAGGGACCCTATCGATCGACACTTGCTGTTTATTAGAAACCCGCCTGCAAGATTCGAGCTCCGTGCTTACCCTGCGATACCCCACATGCGAC